GGATGATGAATGTTATTAAAGGAGAATAGAAGATGTTATCAGCATACAATAGGGACACATCACCAAGATTTGGGGGCTGGGGTTCAGGGAAAGTTTCCTGGAGGAAGTGACATTTTAGGTGAGACCTGAGTAGAAGTTAGCCAGGCCAAGAGATGGGGAAGTATCCCTGACAGGGGGTATAGCAGCCCTTCACCACTTTGTAGCTATTGGGAGAATGAGAAAACAGCCCCTCAGATCCTCTTCCGTAGGGCTTAATTCTCCTGAGGGTAGAAGGAAAAGCAGGAGCTAGATCACAAAGGGCCTTGTAAGCCACATCCATTTTCCTTTTGCCATAAAGAAATTGCATGATCACTAAATTAATTCATTAGCTGGTTATAAGAAAGTTTACACAATGAATAATAAAAATCTAAAACAAAACACAATAGATGGCATCAAAACATTAAAAAACCCCTCAGCTTCAAATAAATTCTACGTAATCTTCAAGTCTCACTCATTCCTACAATTTTATTGAGCACTAGCTCTGACTGGCCACTGGGGACACACAGAGGAATGAGACAGAGTCTGCACTCCAGGAGCTCAAGGTACTTGCTGTTCTCTCTGACACATCCAGCCCACCATGCCCTCTCCCTTCTTTCAAGGCTTATGATAATTGCTTCACCACTCACTCAGATGATTTTGGCGTCTAATCATAATCTCTTTTATGCTGCTGCATGCATACATGCATTATTTTTAGTGAAATGAACTCCTGGGAGGCAGAGTTCATGTCTTTCATTACTATATATATATATTCCGCCCCCACATCCCTGTCTTTAAACTTGAGAACAACTCTAAGATAGGCTTGTAAAGAAAAATAAATGTGACCTCAGGATATGTAGCTGTACAAAAACAATCGACAAATATAAAGTACCTTTTACTATAATTTTAAAAACCCACACCCTCTGTATTTATCTCTATGTACTTTAGCATAGAAAAGTCAAAACATTTAAAGAGCAGCCAAGCCCTGACTGGTTTGGCTCAGTGGATAGAGCGTCGGCCTGCGGACTGAAGGGTCCCAGGTTCGATTCCAGTCAAGGGCAAGTACCTTGGTTGCGGGCACATCCCCAGTGTGAGGTGTGCAGGAGGCAGCTGATGGATGTTTCTCTCTCATTGATGTTTCTAGCTCTCTATCCCTCTCCCTTCCTCTCTGTAAAAAATCAATAAAATATATATAGTAAAAAAAAAAAGAACACTAACGATAGTTTTGGGATCATTTTCATGGTGACTGCGGAGCTGTGGGACAGGAATACCTTCATGGAAAGCATTCTGGGGGACTGGAAACTAGGAGACGGGTATTGTCTAGTCTAGATGTTTCAGGAGAGAATGACATTGGGCTTTATTCCAACCATGACTGTCATAGAGCTGGATGGGGTCTTTTTATTGTTGTTAATCCTAACCGGAAAATTTTTTTTTTCATTGACATTTTTAGAAAGACCATGGAAGGGAGGAGAAACAGAAGCATCCAAGTGAGACACATCCACTGGTTGCCTCCCACAAGTGCGGGGGCTGGGGACTGAATCTGCAACAGAGGTATGTGCCCTTGACTGTAATTGAACCCAAGACCTTTCCGTCAGCATGTAGACGCTCTAATCACTGAGCAAACTGGCTAGGGCTAGATGGGAGGTCTTATAATGAGGAACTGCCATAAGAATAAGAGGGTACTGCGATGAGGTCACACTAATTTAGTTTGGGAAAATTAAAGCTAAAGAGGGATGATCACAGATCTATGATTTTGAATGGCATATACACATTGAGCCCAGATTTTTATCTCATTCAAATGAAATGCTTGGCCAAAGATGCCTTTACAAACATGAACAAGGTACCTACTTTGCATCAATTATAAGGGAAAACATCACACAGTAGACGTGGTATAATAAAGCAACTGAGAACATGAGCTCTGGAAGTCAGTGTGCCTGTGTTCATACCCAGCTCTGCCTCAACTGAAAATTGGAGGTGATAACAGGACACATCTCACAAAATCATAGTGAGGATTATAACACAGGCAAAGTTCTCAGAAAAGGGGTCTGGCACATGGTAAGCTTTCAATAGAAGCTGGGTATTAATATGCTCCTAGAAGTCAGGAAACAAATTGATTTTCTAGAGGTTCACATATATTTAGGAATGGGAAATCAATATATTGCTATTAATAGAACTAAAACATACCCAACTTTAAGGTTAGTGATGTCTGGATGGGATGAACCAGTAAGGCAATGCCCATTTCTCCTAAGTGTTCAAATCTAGAAAGTATTGACTGTTAGCTTTGATAACCCCTGTCTTCATTACTTTTGTAAAAGGCATAAAAGCAAAATGGAAAAAAAGGTGAAGAGAGAGAGAGAGAGAGAGAGAGATCATTAAATTTAGCTACTTCTTCCTCATTGTTAAATTCCCAACTTAAAAAGTCACTACTCCCACCTGGCCGGTGGCTCAGTTGGTTAGAGCATCGTCCTGACATGCCAAGGTTGCAGGTTCGATCCTTGCAGGTCAAGGCACATACAAGAATCAACCAGTGAGTGCATCAATAAGTGGAACAACAAATCAATGTTTCTTTCTCTCCCTCTCTCTCTCTCCCCTCCCCCACTCCAAAAAAAGTCAATAATAAAAAAGAAAAAAAGTCACTACTCCTGATAACCCTTAAAGTAGGTCTCCTTATGTCTTTCTCAGCACCCAGTTTGCTTCCTGCACAGCCCAGCACTTATCACAATTTTTAATTATTTTATTTGCTTATTTATTTTTAATGTCTTCTCACTAAATAGCTCCATGATGACAGAGTATCTTTGTTGATTTTGTCATCCTTAGTTAAGTTTAACACAGAAATGGCATGTAGTAGGCACTCAATAAATACCTGCTGAATGATTTATGAAGCAATGATCTGTAAGGCCCCTTTCAGCTAAAATCAATAACTATTAGGTAATAGAAAAAACAACAAACATTATAAAGGGGAGGCTTTTATTTTTGGGTCTAGGAAATATTTAATGCCTCACTATGATCAAACTAACCAAATGGCTCTATTCCAAGAAGTTTATTTAGAATTTGACTGATGCAATCTCTTCGAAACTAGCACCCTCCCCAAGTGACTTTGTCAGTTTTGCTTTCAGATTTGCCTTACTAATCTTTTTTATTTAATCTTCACCCGTGTATATGTTTAGTAATTTTTTAGAGAGAGAGGAAGGGAGAGAGAGGAAAGGAGAGGGGGGGAAGGAGGAGAGGGGAGATAGAGAAACTTTAATCAGTTGTCTCCCATACATGTACATGCCCCGACCCAGGATTGAATCTGAAACCTAGGTGTGTGCCCTAACTGGGAATCAAAAGAGCGACCTTTTGGGGCATGGGACAATGCTCTAACCAACTGAGCCACCTGGCCGGAGCTGCCTTAGTAATTTTAACAATCTAGGCCCAATGTCTGTCTAATAATTGATCAGCTACATATATTATCTGAGGAGCTTTTTATTTTATTTTATTTTAAATATGTTTTTATTGCCCAGTCAGTGTGAGCATCGACCTATGAACCAGGAGATCAGGGTTTGATTCCTGGTCAGAGCACATGCCTGGGTTGGGGCTCGATCCCCAGTGGGGGCTGTGCAAGAGGCAGCTGGCCAATTATTCTTTCATCATTGATGTTTCTCTCCCTTCCTCTCTGAAATCAATAAAAGTATATTAAAAAATGTTTTTCATTGATTTTAGAGAGAGAGGAAGGGAGAAGGATAGAAACAACAATGCAAGAGAGAAACATGGATGGGCTGCCTCCTGACTGGCCCCTACCAGGGATCAAGCCGGGAAACCCAGGCATGTGCCCTGACCCGGAATCCAACCAGTGACCTCTCTGTGCGTTGTCCCTTGCACCAGGAGGGTGCTGGTTGGTTCCGGTCAGGGCACATGCCTGGGTTGTGGGCTCCATCCCCAGTAGAAGCTGTGTCTGAGGAAATGTGTGGGAGGCAGCCAATTGATATTGCTCTTTCGTCAATGTTTTTCTCTCTCTATGAAATCAATACAAACATTTTTTTAAAAATACAAAATTTTGAATCAAAACTCCAGAAAAGTCTTACTTGGTACTTGTGTAGTGAGGCTCTAGAATTTATGTATTTAAAACGTGGTTATTTGGAATAGATAATATATGTACGCATTATACAATTCAAAAGGTACAAAAAAGTTATAGCCAAGCCTCCCTTTCACGTTTGCCTTCCTGCTTCAAGTTCACGTTTCCTTAAGTTATCACTGCTACCCATTTCTTTTGTATTCTTCCAGATAATTATTTGCCTAAGTAAGTATATCTATATCCTTTGCTTTAAACACACAGTTGCATATTTAAAGAACTGTTCTAACTTCGGTGTTTTTTTTCCAATTCCCATTTAACAAAGTATGCTGAAAATGAAGGTGTCTTTGTATTTTTCACAAGCACCCGGGTGGTTCTGAGGTGAAGCTGACTATAGGAACCACCCAATGGCCCAGGTTAAGAGGTTAAGTTCGACTCACTATTACACATTAGAAACTCAAGGATATTGAAAAGATGCCCTCAAAAGCGGCCTTGCTTACTTGACCTCTGCCCTCTCGTCTTATGCACATGAACTCCCGCATTCTCTAAATGTCTCCATATAAGCTAGGAAAAAAGTAGTCATTCAAATAGATGTTGCCAAAAGCTGTTCAATTTTCAATTCCTGGAACCCTTTCCTGCCCGGTTACCGCCTGAAATCTGAAATCCCAAACCTGACCGTCTCTACGTGACACAAGGCGTTTTGGTTCTGGGTTATAATGAAGTTTGATTTACACTGATTTTCTCGGCTGGCAGTGACGCTGTCTAATGGAGCACAACAGAGATACTCCCCTTACTCATCCCACCGGCACAACAGCGTCCAGCCCTCCCCCGGAATTGCTCTCTTACCATCCGGGCTGCAGTGGACCTGACTTCCCTTCTATGGCGGGATGGGCTACGGCTGGGTGCCTGTGCGGCTCTCGCTTTCTCTGCCCACCCGCCCGAGAGGCGGCGGGAAGAGCTTCCTTTCGGCACGGAGGGCAGGCCCTCCGAGGGCACCCGCGGATCTCCGCAGTGTCCCCTTCTCCGCGAGGGGCACCACGCGGCAGGCATCTTCACCTCCGCGCCGAGCAAGGAGCTGGAGGGCTCGCCCGGCGAGGCAGGGAACCACCCGCTGCAGCGCCGGCTCGCCCCACGGAAGGGCGTGAGTCCTCTCCATCCCTGACCCCTGGACTCAAACGGAGCGTGGGGCCCAGGGGCCCAAACCC